TTTGATAAGCCTAATTTTCGAAAAAAAAAAGAATTATTAAAATTTTTTATTTATAATTTCAGTCAATAAATGACTACGTTCATTTGTCACTTTAAAAGATGGCTAGAGACTTCGAAATTTATGTGATGATTATTATTAGCAAATGCTGATCACCTAACAAGTTTAGACATCTCATTCTGGACTGTTAATGATGAAGTAAACGTCTTTCAAATAGTTCAAAACTTACACGAACACTATGTGAACTGATGCCTGTCGTTTGAGCTCATGTTGGATTCGCAAGGAAGTCTCGGTAACATTAGACATGATAGGGATAATTTCTAGAATAGCTTTTCCCAAACTCAGACTGAGATCAAAACAACTAAAATCACGTAGATCGCCGCCAGACTTGATGTATCGAGACCATAAGCGGGACCTAAAAACTTTATCCCATGAATCTCTAGTGAGAGACTAAGAAATCATTCATGCTGCTATATGTTCTCTAGTTCATGTCCATCATAATCATGTAAAAACATAAGAAGTGAAATGTAGGAAGAAAAGATGTGAATGGACTGAAGACTCATGAATACATGATAGAAAAGTTTGCATTTACGGTGTTAAAACACTAATTTTGCGTTTTTCTTACAATTTCTGATTTTTTCGTATTGAATCAGTAGACTGTTTAAGAAAAAATTGGAAAAAGCGAGCACTGTTAAGTTATCTTGCCATATCTTTGTTACATTTTTTTAAAACGAACACAAACTCTCTAGCATTTGAATCGGAGAAAAAATGTGACACGCACGGAAGTCTATATTGTGACCCATAATCTTAAGCTAAGTCTTCAAAAACTAATTGTATCAAAATCAAAGTATTACTATGAGCTATCTTAACTCAATGTACACCTCTGCTAAAAAATTTCATCAAGATTGAATTATTGAAACAAAAAAATTTTCTGATGAAAACTCTTTAAAATCACAGCTCAAGTAGATTTAATAAATTCTTCAATACCTTATAAAATTCTTTTCCTAATGCTGGATCAAAGAGATCATCAATAAGTGGTCGAGTTGGTACAAATTTTGTTGGATCAGGCAATGAAACAATTGCTCCATCAGGTCCAAACCAACGATCAATTGGCTAGAATCGAAAGTTTTTTTTTTTTTGTGTTTAATTAAAATACTTTTCTTGATATTTTCTTTTTCTCACTTTATTTTCATCTACACATTCTTGTAATATTCGTTTTTCGGCTCGACGAACTACATTAGTTGGTACAATAGGTCTTTTACCAACAAAAATGCCTTCTTCTTCAAGTGAACGTGGTTGGCCTATACCATCACCAAGTTTCTCTTGAAGGCCAACTAAAAATATCAAAATCATAATAAGAAAACTATCAGCACAATTCTTGAAGGATGAAAATGTGAAACATAATATAACTATTGTTGCTAATCACAGGAGATTGCTTAATTCTGCGACATATCTCATCGTCTCTCTTTTTCTTAATCCTTTATAAATGCGTCTATGATAGTTTCTGGCTAGTAGAGCCCAACATTTTCGAATCCAGCTCTGGTAGAATCATACTTTGATATTCTCAATGAAATTTTCTAATCGAAATTGAATAATTGTTCCAAAGGTACGAAATACTTTTTTTCAAGGATTTTTATTGTCTGTGATTAGCACATCCTACACATTTTTTAGATGACTGGATCCTATCGAGTCTGAAATTGTCGATCTTGAATTTGACCGAATGACTTGTTTTAGATTATGTTTCACAAAATAAATATCATACTTCGTTGGCCAACAACATATTTAAATTTTTTCTCTTCTAAATCACGTTCTTCATCTTGATCAAATGCTCGTTCTGCTCTTTGATATTGAGCTAGTTGAATATCTCCAAGTATATTTATAAGTGGTTGTTTTTCTATAATTTCAAACATATAATTTTTTTTCTTTTACCAAAAAGAGAAAATAAAACAAAAATAAAATATCGAATCTACTACCTTCAGGTAATTTTTGATCTCGAAATGTAGCTTGATCATCAGCTGGTGCACTTTCATCGGTTGTCTATGAAGCAAAAAAAGAATAATTTCATTTAATTACTTATTTTGTTAAAATTTTCACTCGTGGTTCGCCATCAACAATAGTATCTGCTGTTGTTATTCGAGCAACTGTAGTTGTATCTGTTTGTGATTCTGTTATTCCAGGTTTTTCATCTGTCCAAATTTTAAGAAAAAAATCATCTTTATCAGATAATGATGGCATAGTCTCTATGTGTTCAAATGCTTTTTTCCAACGACTTGTTCGATCCTAAATAAATCCTATAGTCATTATATTAATAAGATTATTCGATTAAAATAAACTTGTTGCTTTTTATCAATTTCTTGACGGTATCTATCTTGTTGGTTTCTGGAACCTGGATCAAAACGTGATGAACCATCACCAAAAGTTTGTGAAGCGAGCAATGATGGATCAATATTTGTATCAAATCCACGAAGTGTTTGTTGAAGTTTTAATTCAGTACTTGCTCCATAACGACGAGATGAACCCATAGTTGATAATTGATCTATGTTTGTAAAAGAAAAAATAAAAAAAGTCATCAATCAAAAAAATGTACCGTACGTATTTATGATCTATTCGAAATTTTATTAAATGCAAAAATTAGTTTTTCTTTTTAATTACTTTTCAAAAGAATCAATTCAAATATGTAGAGAATCATTAATGAGTACTATAAGAATTAGATTTATAAGGATTTACATTTGATGATATTAGTCTGAAGAAAAATATACTAAATAATAATCAATGACTAAAAGACTTCAAAATTTTAAGTTGAAACATTATAGTTTCATTGTTTGTTAAATATCTTTGTAGATTAAATCTTTAATAAAAACTATTCTATAGATTCAAAACTCTAGAGATAGATATGATTGGGTGTTAGGTGGTTTACTATTAAGAATGTATAATTTTAGTTTTGCTGATTGATCATCGACGTTATCAATGCACGAGGGAATGTTTTTCAGTTGATTAGTTGATTTTTGAATCAAACAAATTGGGTTATAGGTTATCAATCATCTTCATTCTGAATAAAAACATGAGAAATCCACTCAGATCTTTACACACTGGTTGTCTAGACTAACAAACTTTCTTCTAATTTCGTTTTTTTTGATTAGTTCAGATTATAAAGTATATCTGAATGTTTAAAAATCAGAGACTCTTCCTGTTTCGAATGTATCTTTTTTCAAAAAATACAGCCATTTTAAATTTATACAATAGATACATATCAATATTTTCATGTGAAAATCTTCAAAATGATATTATTTTACTCAAAACTCATTCTCAGACAATATTATTGACTTATAGATAAGTTGATATGCTCTATACTCTGATGAAAGAAACTTACCAACTGGCAAACACCGTTTAAACTTATGTTTTACTCTTAGTTAGTACACATAATGTAGATAAAAATTCTGAAAGATTATTCGAATTTTAATATTAGCTCTTATTAAAACATTTGTATTCCAGAGACCAAAATTCAATTGGATATAAATTAAATTTTCTTATTAGTTTTGATCTCTCATAATTTCATTGATCTTTTAATAATAGAAATATCAGAATTTTTTACCACGAGAAACTAAATCCACTTCAGACATCCTGCGAAATCACTGTTAGCAATTACTTCAAATATTTTCTGGAGGGCTCACTCTTCCTGTCACATTGTTACTACCTTTCAATAGACTTCACATTTAATTTGACCTTTTTCTTTTTATTTAATGAGCTTTTCTCATATTCATCATTTAATAATTCTTCTAAATTTATGAACTGAAATGTAATAAGTTGGAATTATTAGTATTGATTATTAAAACATCAAAATGACCCATATATATTACTCAATGTACAGTTCGAGAATAATACTCTATATCAAATGTCGTTTATTTTTTTATAAGATTTTTATGCTCATAGATCTATGATATATTCAAAAATACACAGTTTGACTAAAGTTCATTAAATATAAATCTTAAAATATTTGCCTGTTAAACTAACCGTCATCAATAGATTGTCCAGCTCTTGATCGTTTTGCTCTTTCAAGAATGTGTTCTAGTGAACGATCACGTGTTGTTGTTGTTGTTCCAATTGTTGCTGGTAATGGTTCAATGGTTAAAACTCGATCTTCATCTATATCACCAATATGTCTTGAAATTTTTTGTTGTCCTTGTTGTATTTGTTGAGTAACTTCATGTTGATCATCAACAACACCATCTGATGTTGTGATTTTTTTTGTTTTTTTATCTTGTTGTTGAAGTTCATTAATTTTTCGATGATGTTCTTTTGTTAGATGTGATTCAAGTCGATTAGCATTTTGAACATTTTCTTCTTCTTCATCATCTTCATTAACACGTTCAATAGGATGTGGAGGTGGTCGTTCTTCTTCAGTAAATGCTTGATTATCAAATTGTTGAGCAGTTGTTGATCGTTGAGCACGTCGTTGACGATGTCGATCAACTGTAGTTGGTGCCGATGTTTCACGAGGACTGACATCTGAACTTGAATCTTTTATTAAGTTTTCTTGTGATGTATGTGTACGAGCACGACGTCCACGTCTACGTTGTGCTAAAGATCTTTGAAGAAACAAAAATTTTGTTTCATGACAAAGAATTAATAGAAATACTTACGGATCCATTTTGATTATAATTTATACGAATTGATATTCTGATTATTAGATCATAAAGCCATTACGTTCACTCATGGCAACCATTACTTAGTATTAGCCTCTAGATTAACATAAAACTATGAAAATTTTAAAAAGAAAATTTTTTTGATTTGTAAAAAAATATTAAGCAAAAAACAGGATACGAAATTGTAAAAAAAATAATCATTCAACAGATGGCATTTATTTATGATTGGCTAATTCAATAGACTAATCATTTTTTTTATCTTTTGTAATTGTTTCATGTTAGTTTTAATCTTTTTTTTTCTGTTTCGTACTCATTGATTGACCTTTAACGACAAACAAAAATTTATTGAGTAATAGTGTAATGGAAAATCAAAGTAAATATTTATTTGATTGATTTTATATGGAAATGTTCCTTTGCTCTTCTTAGCCAATAATGACGTACCTGCGGATGCTCCTCATGCATGTCCAGGCACTTCGAGTAATCTTGCTGGACGTGTATCAGCTTGTGCTGGTTGTCCAAATCAAGCAGTATGTTCTTCGGGTGAAACACGACGTATTGATCCAGCTATTGTTGAAATAGGTCAACGTTTATCATCAGTTAAACATATTATTGTTGTTTTAAGTGGAAAAGGTGGAGTTGGAAAAACAACTGTAGCTGTTATGTTGGCTCGAGCATTAGCACGAAATCCTCAATTACGTATTGCTTTACTTGATGTTGATATTTGTGGACCAAGTGTACCACGAGCACTAGGTGTTGAAAATGAACAAGTGAGTTATTTGGAAAATATAGTAAAATTTGATATATCTTATATTTAGCGTTGAAAATTCCAACATTAATTTTCGTGTGTAAATTTATGTTTATTTATTTATATATTCTTTCAAATTGAGTTTTACGTGCTTTAAGATTCGAATCCAGAATTTTAGCTTTTGTTTTTGACAATCTGATAATTTATATAGTTCGAAAGGATACTTTTTTTCAAAAAACTCCTAGCAAATTTCATAAAATAACAAGAAAAAACCAAATTACATCTATCCATACATTTCAAAACATTCATATGAAAGAAAAAAACTTGAGTATTTTGTGTCTTTGAAGCCACATAGCCAACAAAAGAATTCGAGTATCTTTGTCCTATTGCAACCAAATCAGTTATTCATTTCAATTGATACTTTGAAACTTTATGTTTATAATAGAACTAAGAAATTGTGTACACAGCAATGTTCTGCAGAAACGATATTTTAAAAATGGACATACCCAAAAATCTTTTTGTTGTATATGTATACTCTCCAAATTTGGCTTTTGCAAATAAAAAAAAATACCGAAGTCAATCCGGTGGTACATTCTTAGAAAACGTATTTCGATATTCTTTCAAAGACTTTTACATTGCTTATTAATTGAAAGAAAAATAGCAAAAATTAGAGAATTTGATTGATTATTGATTAAATCGTAGTTTAATTATCATTTTTGAAAGGACTTTTATTCCGATTTTTTCGTCATCTAGCATTCTTATTATCTTCTCTTTTTGAATGTTTTTGTCATCAGTTTTTGTTGATATATTGCTAATATAAGTAGTAATTGATTTATTTGAGGGTCATCTTACCTTGCACAAAGTGTGACGTTGAAAGAAGCTAGTGTCTGATAATAATAGTTTTTCTCAAACCTATAAGTTGTACTCATAATAGGAACTCTGAAAGGATTACGGAACAGAAGTCATCGCTACGAAGAACTTACTATCGGAAGTACTTATTCAATTCATTGACTGAAATTCTATTCTAACCCTTTGTGAAACTCACGTATATTTTCGAAGAAAATAGTGAGTGTAAATTTAAGGTGAAGGTTTCGCGGCTGCTCTCCCTCCTCTTACAGACAGGCCCCCATTACGGATCTTAGCGACCAGGTTTAAAATAATGGATATACATATATATATATATATAACAGTTTCATTCGCCATATAATTCAATGCTTCTTATAATAAAAATGTAAAATTAAAGAAAACGAAAAATAAGGATGTCTGTCAGAAAATTAAAAAAATTCGTGATTTTATACTATGTATATTTCATATTAGTATAATGAATCTGAAGAATATACGTGAGTTCCACATTTCAGCTCCTTTGAAGCTACGCTAACAAGCTTTTTTTAAATATTTTATTTGTACTTATTATTGACTAATACTATTCTAAAATATTTCGTTTTCCATAAGAGTTGATCTCACACAGAGTCCATATGAATAAACTCGATAATTAACATATATTTAAATTGATTGTATATAAATCATTGAATAAAATTTCTTTCTTTTAGGTACATTCAAGTGGTTCTGGTTGGTCACCAGTTTATATAACTGAAAATTTATCTGCTATGTCCGTTGGTTTTTTATTAACATCTCTTGAACAAGCTGTCATATGGAAAGGTCCACGTAAAGATCATATGATAAAACAATTTTTATTAGATGTCGATTGGGGTGAAGGTGAACTTGATTATTTAATTGTTGATACACCACCAGGTACATCTGATGAACATTTATCTGTTGTTAATTATTTAAAAAATGTTTCATCCGTATCTGGTTGTATACTTGTAACAACACCACAAGAAATATCTTTACAAGATGTTCGAAAAGAAATATCATTTGTAAAACAAATAAATCTTAATGTTCTTGGTATAATTGAAAATATGTCAATATTTAAATGTGGAAAATGTCATAAAGAAAGTCAAATATTTCCAAAACATGATGGATTAAAACATTTATGTGAAAGTAATAATTATGAATTACTTGCAAGTATTCCAATAGATCCATCTATCGCTAAATGCTGTGATGATGGAACAGATTTATTTGAAATTCATTCAGATTCATCAACAGCGAAAGTTTATTTAAATTTAGCAGAAAAAATTCAAGAAAAATGTCAATCAAAATAGAATGAAAAATTTTAAAAAAAATACTTCTTTTGCTTTTTCTTTCAATTTCAGTGATTGTTAACTTCTTTCTTTTATTTTAGATTAATATGCTTTCCTTTAAACAAAATGGGTTGAAATTGAAACAACAAAAAGCCTAAAATGGATGCCGATTTTAAGGCTCAATTAGATCAAGAACGAACCAAAGTTGAAGATGCATTTGATTTTCTTGGTTGTAAAGTTGGGCGAGGTACTTATGGACATGTATATAAAGCAAAGAAAAAAGATGGGTAATGAAAATCATTTATTATTCTTGCTCTTTTTTTATTGAATTTTTTTATTTATTTAGCAGTGATACACGAGACTATGCACTGAAACAAATCGAAGGTAAATACAAAATTCTTTGAAAATTAAAAAGAGAAAAATTTTCTTTTTTTTTTTTTTAGGCGCTGGTTTATCAACAAGTGCTTGTCGAGAAATTTCTGTATGTTAATATTTTTTTTTTGTGAAATACGATGTAAAAGAAGCATTGAAACATACGAGTGCAAATTCGGATCCTTCCTTCATCTCAATGTACATTTCTTTTGCTCAGAAATGATTGTATATCAGAAATCTTTCTGTATCAAAAAACATGGGAAGCACCTAAAAAAATATGGTTTCTTGAAAACTTCATGTCTGACTTTAGAAATATTTGTACTAACGTTATTGATCGAGCTTAAAGAGAAAGAGCTTGATTAAGGATGGTATGCCCATTTTACTAACGAGGAATCTTCTTCCGATTTGACTGATTTTTTGTCTGTAGATAGTACATATTTTGATCTGAAAGTATGTGCATATAGAAAACTCAACTAGACTAGCTCTCACAAAAATCCTAGAGTTTTGAAGGAAGTCTCTTCGAGATATGAAGTTTTCAAAAAATGCATGTTGTACATATTATATATGGAAAAGGGTGTCTATCTCAAATAGGCTCTATTTAAAACTAAACGATTTTTTAATGGAAACTGATCTAGTTGAATTTTCTGTATGTACAAAGTTTCAGATCAAAATTCGAAAACCTTCGATAGAGGAAATAGATATACTAAAAATACGATAAGTCACATGTCAATAGGAACCTAGCTCATGGAAGTCAAAACGGGGCAATGGAAAAGGTTCCTTCATAAGTTTTGCTTGGTGAACTGTTTGCTCTACTTGGCATTCGTAACAATATCTAATTCTATGTTTGGATGACTAGATAAAATAAAGCAATGTTTCTATGATTAGCAACAGTATCTACATAGTGTTTTAGATTATAATGCTGTAAAAATTGTGTTCACTTTTTTCTTTCAATCTTATTTCTAGTTATTACGTGAATTAAAACATATTAATGTTATAACATTACAGCGTGTATTTCTTTCGCATGCTGATCGTCGTGTTTATCTTTTATTTGATTTTGCTGAACATGATTTATGGGTAAAAAAAAATTTTTCTTTTATTAAATTTTGTTTTTATTATTATGTTTTTTGTTTTGTTTAAAGCATATTATTAAATTTCATCGTTCAGCTAAACAAAATAAAAAAACTGTTGCATGTGCACGTGGAATGGTGAAATCATTACTTTATCAAATACTTGCTGGAATACATTATTTACATTCCAATTGGATTTTACATCGAGATCTTAAACCAGCAAATATTCTAGTTATGGGCGATGGAGTTGAACGTGGTCGAGTAAAAATTGCTGATATGGGTTTTGCTCGTTTATTTAATTCGCCACTTAAACCAATGGCTGATCTTGGTAAATCTCAAGTTTCGTCTAGTTGTTATGTATAAAAGAATTGGTTTTGATAGATGTTCTGAAGGAGACATGTTAGATTCTCGTGCAATGCATCTAGAATAGTCACAAGGGTTTACTGAAAACTTGTATTTATACTCAGATATAATATTTGTTATTTTTGAATGGCAGATGTATACAATCTAGCCGAGTACATCTACCTGTGTTGAAGGAAATTCTAGAAAAATCGTTATTTTAGAGATAAACGCACAAATTTTGTATACAGTTTCTGAAACTTATTTTTTATCGAATGTAAAATGTCAACAATTCGAAAGTTGAGCGAAACCGATTTATTGGTAGTGAAGCTTAGATAAATTAGATTACGAAAATTGAAATTTAAAGAAAACTTGTTTTCAACAATAACTATATAATTGAATGCAGATTTGTCTGTTCACAAGGAAAATTTTTAAAGATGACCCTGTATTTATGATGTCTTGTGATCATATCGAAAAAAAACGATTTTGTCAATAATCAAATAAGATTTGTTAAAATATATGTATATATATAGATTTTTCCTAAGCATGTCACGATTAAAATGAAAAAACAGTATATGGATAAATATTGAACCTAGTGAGACTTAATACTTTCGAAGATTTTCGATTTCTATAGGCATTTGTAACTATTTTTGGAATCCAATTTTCCTAAATTTCGCTTCAAAAGTCTTGTTCGAATACTTTCAGAGATTACATGACGAGCTTTTGTATAACCATGACCAAAAATTCCAAAAACTTTGGCTCATTTCTTGATCTGCAGGCACCTTATACGTTGAGAGATAAATTGATGGTTTAAATTTTTTACGCACAGGGAAATTTTCTCCGTTCGGAGAAGCTTTTTATTTCAGCAATAGATTCTGATTCAATTTTTGACTCGATACAATGTATCAAAGTTAAACAATTATCTTTGACAGCGACTGAAAAATAGAATTCTCCTTCAATTGAATATCACTAATTGTATTTTAAATTTTTCTTGTCAAAAGTTTTAATGAGTTGGATTCATATTACATACATATTTTTTTTTTATCAATGTCAATCATTGAAAGTTATATTCAATTTTAGATCCCGTTGTTGTTACATTTTGGTATCGTGCACCAGAATTATTACTCGGTGCTCGACATTACACAAAAGCGATTGATATTTGGGCAATTGGGTAAGTGTTATCTTTTTTTCTTTAAAATATATCCTAATAGAAAAAATTTCTCATTTAAATTAGATGTATTTTTGCTGAATTATTAACATATGAACCAATATTTCATTGTAAACAAGAAGATATAAAAACAAGTACACCTTATCATCATGATCAACTTGATCGAATTTTTTCAGTCATGAGTTTTCCAGCTGGTAAAATAAAATCATATTGAATTTATTTTAATAAATTAATTCATGTTTTTCTTTTGCTATTGCATAGATAAAGAATGGGAAGACATGAAAAGAATGCCAGAATATATACGTTTATCAAAAGAATTTAAAAAGAGCAAGTTAGTTATTGGAAATATTTATTCAGAAAGAAAAATCGAAACTTCATTACTTTTTTTTTTGTTTACATTTTTAGTTATGCTAATTGTAGTTTAAATAAATATATGGAAAAACATAATATTCGATCGGATAGTCGAGCTTTTCAGTTACTCACACGTTTACTTACTGTTGATCCAACTAAACGATTAACTGGTAATAGAATTATGTTGCTTTTATAAATATTTACTTTTTTTCTTTCTATATTTAGCCTTGGATGCAATGAATGATTTATATTTTAAAGAAGATCCTCGACCTACTGATGAGTAAATATTTACATGAAATAAATTTTTTTTATATTATTCATATTATCTATTTAGTGTATTCGATTCTGTTTCAATACCTTATCCAAAACGTGAATTTATCACTGATGATGATAATTCCGATGCTGCCGGTGGCGCACATGTATCAAAAACTGAGCCAGCAGTCGTTGTTAAAACTGAAGCTTCATCCGTTCTTCTAACTCAACAACAACAACAACAACCATCTCATGTAACACATAGTCAACAACAACCAAATGTACATATTAAACAACAACCACAACAACATAATAATGTTGTTCAACAAACACATGCTCAACAAGTAAGTTAAAATAAATTCTAAGTCAATAATAACTACTTATATATATTTTTATTTAGATTAAATTAATGCAACAACATTCATCAGGACAACCACCTGAAAAAAAATTTCGTGTATCTGGAAATTATACTGCTGGTGATCCACCAAATTATGAATATCCAGTAAATAATTTAGATATACATATATATATATACATATTGTTTTGTGAAACATGATCTAAAAGGAGTGTTGAAGTGCATAGGATAGAAACTTGCACATGAAGTGCAATCATGGTTATAAAATATATTTTAAAGTCCATTAGGAACCGTATGGCTGATTTTTTTTATGCGTTTTCTGCTAAGACAAATCAAAACCTATTTCGAAAGGAAAGGATCATTGACACAGACTGTATACCAATAACATCTTCTTACAATATATATATTACTTATTGCAATTCTACAGGAATGAATAAAAAGATGGTAAAGAACTGTTTTCCAAAATAGATAGAATGAAATAATGTTCCTCTGACTAGTAACAACAACTACTTTGTATTTGATATTTGATATACTGCAGGAATTGCACTAATCGATTTGTTCTTTTACTAGAAATTGTATTTTTTTAATTTAGAGAAATCCAAATCAACCACAACAACAGCAACAACAACAACAACAGATTTACCCACGTTTTTAGTCTGTTCATCTGTGTATAAATATATAATATTTATTTATTAGTGTGTCTTTGTTTAATACTAGTTGTGTATAATTGTTTGTCTTTTTTTTCCAATCCGTGTTTTTGTCAATATAAATCGTTTAATTGTAGCTGTTTTGTAGATTACACCAATAAAAATTTTTCTTATAGAATTTCATCATAATAATATTTTGTTATGATAAACTGAATATGAATCTAAAAGAATAAGAATGCAATACATATATGAATAGAAAAAGTCAAGCTACAAAAACGAAAATTTTATATTTAATAAAAAGGTGCGAAGACAGTATCAGCAAAATTTAATCGAGATGTATAGTTACACATTAAATTTGGAAAATTTTTATACAAGGAAACCATTATTGTAGTGATCTTTGTATACATCTAATAAGTACGTTTTGTGCTCAAAAAAACAAGTTACATATCACAGGAATGGCGTCAGAAAACAATCGACTATTATACAAATCAAGAGAAATGATTGGCAACGAAAGCATTCATACTGTTACGAATACTGCAATGCAGAGTACGAGACACTACAATGAAATTTCATATATAATCTAGGTTGATGAATTGTTCATATGGAATAAAGTACGATAGTTTCTATGAACGATATGTTTCTAATTATTTTCTCAAAATCATTTCATAATATTTGTTTTTGTTCATTATATTTCATATAAAAAGTATCACCTATCTACTATTTGACTAAAAAATGAATTTATTTTTAAAGAAATATTATATAAAACTATATGCAGCAATATGCTATAATTCTTTCGTCTATATGACGTTCATTGAATGCTATTGTAAATCATAGAAAACTATTATCACAAAATAGTATCGATTCAATTGTATGTATCTTTTATAAGCATTAGTCAAACTTTATTCATAATTATTTTTTTTTAAATTCAATAAATAGGTATAACAAATTTTGTTCAAACAAAACCATTCATTAGATGAACATGCTATTGTAACTTAGAGATGATTTATTCTTAACTTACAAGCGATCATCAATGTTTCTTCAATAAAAATACGAAGAAATTCATAGAGATGTTAATTTTGAAACATGAGAAGAAAAATTGTATGAGTGTGAGATAATCTGTATATATTGTCGATGGCAGCCATGTTTTTAAATATAAAGTAAACTGAAAATCTACAATTTTAGTTCGTTTCAAATTTTGTTAGAGATAGACGAAGACATATTAAATGAAAGACAAAGTTAGCAGCTTATGTAACTAGAAATACGTCATTAGTTAAATAAACGCTGAATTAACAGGTGATAGTGGTTTTCAGTTATACTTTTTAGATCGAACGGGAATTATTGAAACTATATTTTTGACTTTTTCAATGTTGCATGTATCTCATTCGATTGCATTGAATACGTTACTTTAAATTTTCAATGAATTATTCAGTCAATTTATTTAACTCAATACGCAGCAGATGCAAATCAATGGATAGATCCATTGCTTACTTCTCTTCATATTAAATTATAATTTAAAGAAAATAGTTTGTAACTTTTACAAAAATCTTCAAATAGTTCTTTACATGACTCAGAAAATAAGAAAAAAAAAACAAAATATCCCATTCAATTTAGACCATCAACTGGGATCAAGTCTTCAAAATGCATTAACAAAGTTTATAGATAAACATTATGAACATCAAATATATTTGGTGTATAAAACGATGATGATGCAGTTGAAGTTGATGATGAAAAAATTGATCCAGATACATTTGACGATGTATATGGAAATGTTACTGTTGGTCGATAGATTTGTTCGTAATCTAAATATTCAAAAACAAAAAAGAAAAAAAAAGAAATTTACATTGATTAATACAAAAAAATTGCTCAGTAGACGAACCATTATTATACCGGGCATAAAATGGTGATTGTTGGTTCAGAAATAAATTAGTAGAATTATTTGTATTCGTACTACTCGTATATTCATTGAATGGACGAAATATTGAATCTGTTGTTGATGACGATTTTTCAATATTAGGTAAACAGTACGGAGTAAAATAAAAGCAAGACGATGATGTGACTGGTTCTGGAATAGTCACACTACTTGTTTCCATAGATCCATTAGGAAATACTAATGAATTAGTACTAGCTGGTATTTGTTGATGTTGTTGTTGTTGAGCAGAAGTTATTTTTCGCCAACGAGCACGACGATTTGAAAACCATACCTTTACATTGAATAAATTTATTGTCAAAAAAAAAAAAAATTTGTTGTTGCTTTAATACCTGAACACGTGCTTCAGTTAATCCTGTACGTTTTGATAATTTTTCTCTTTTTTGAACATCAGGATAATGTGTTTCTTGAAAAACTTGCTCCAGTTTTTCAATTTGATCTTGATCAAAACTACTTCGATATCGACGATTTTTTATTGTTTTATTTATATGTGGTTTTTTTTCATCATTTGATTCTTCATCATGATTATCATCATTCAATAATTTTGTTAATGTATTTAAACTTGGTAATGCTGTTGGTTTACAAATACCATCACGAACTAAACGTTCACGTATTTCTAAAATAAATGTTGGACTATTTGGATATTGATTTTTATATTCATTGATTTTTTGTTGAATATCAGTTGGAATATTTTTGGATTTTGAACTATTAGTAATTGAACCGGGTTCAATAGAACCTGTTTCAGCATAACGTGATAAAATTTTTGATACACATCCATGTGAAACACGTAACTTTATTAATCAAAGAAAAAAAAGAAAAACAAAAAATGAAACTACAAATGAATAAAGAAATTTGTTAATACCTGTCGACTAATAACACACGGTCGAATACCTTGAGCAGCCATATCAATAATTGTCATACGAAGATGATTTGGCAATGGACGTCCATTGATAAATATGCCACCCAATTGATTAATTCGACCTTGTCCTTATATAAATCTTCAAATATTTTAAGATACTATTGTTATTTTACCTTCATAAGACAAAGAATCTGGATAATACAGCTTTATTGATGATGAATAAGAAGAAGATGTAGATGAATTTGTGACTTCATTCATTGATTCAGTGATTGCAGTTGAATTTGACAGCATGTCATACACACACACACCAACAGATAATTTGTTGATCTTTTCACGTTTTTCGGCCTTTATTTACTTGTTCAAATTGGCTTCTATATCACTCGATGGTAGAATATATTCGAATTGACGAGAAATATTTATTGGAAAAAACCTTAAAAAATGAAACGTCTAACTTGTCAGTTAACAATCTGTATATAGATCGCCCATCCTTTTTTTTATATCTAAAGTGTGAGATGTAAGTTTCACGCATATTAAACATAAAGAAAAAGACAATTTACCTGTTGAAATGATAGAGCGGTATAAACATACTCATTTTCAATTTTCTCGCATGTCGCCGACATCGACTAATGAGAGATGCAATCTTCATATTCGTTTTTATGTCTATGTGTTTCGCTTGTTTGATAGGTGTTGTGATTTGGTCTCACCATTCGACCGTCAACATCATTATCGATTGTATGTAAAACGAAAGAAAAAAATTCATTGACCAATCAATTTTGAAAACAAAAATATCATTTTCTTTTTAACCAATTAAATTCAACATACTCCTAAGTAAAGAAAAGTCCTTGTGAATAAGTTTGTTATGGACCAAAATACCAATAGAATGACATTTAAATATTTCTTTTTTTGGTCAAGCAAAGAGAAATTTAGAGAACAAAAAAGCAAAACAATCTTCCGACTCAAAAGATATCCATACAGTACTATTCATAGTATAAGAATTTTTAAAATTCTAAAAGAAAAATATCATGAATAGAAAATCATCAATGTCAACAATTGATATACATCTGCTGTAAGTAAAATAAATTTTGTATATCAAATTGAGTCTTTCCTTTATTTCTAAATTGAATATCAACAATTGATCAAAAAAAAAGATATGATGTTAATTTCCGTGATTAATGCGATGCGAAACACAATTTTTATGTAAACTTGCAGTTTTTTTCAGATACGAATCAACTATGTAATGTTTCATTGTGAGTTTTTGTTATTTGTTGATTTACTAAAGAGACGCATCAAAAGTGTTTTTTATTGCCTGATGTGACGGTCTCAATAAATGGAAAATCAGAATACTTTGGTTCTCAAACGCGCGATGAAAATATCGAGCCAGACGTTACGTTAGTTTATATAGAGACTATCAAAAAAAGCAAATTTTAATGGTTTTTTTCCACATTTCAGATAATTAAAACGAAAACAGCATGAAAAATTAATCGCTCTTCCTTTTTTTGCCACTTTCAAGTTAATTAATATGGAAGTATTCATATATTCAGATGTAAGAACCGATAATTCTAAAGCACGACTGTCTCCTATTAGTAATCTTATTGATATTTTTTCCCGAAAAGTTATTTTGTTTTCGATCTACTAACTGAAACAAAACTTTTCTTCGTCAATGAACAAGATTTCTCGACATGTAACAATTATTCGAAAATGAAGAATCGAAAGTTAAGATTAGTTCACATCTTAGTTTAAACTCTTGCCTTTATTCAAGTTTCTTATGGATTTTTTGTATGAGAACAATCATATTTTTGCATCTGCACGTTACTACTGATCATCAAGGTTATAGGAAAAAGTACATTTTAGAATTAGTTCAGACAATCACAATATTGTATGAATAAGTCTGCATCTATATAGTATGATAACTATAAGACAAATTCATGCTCTTAAACTACCTTTTCTCAGAAAAATTTTGATTTTAATTTCACAAAACATTGATTCTTCTAGTACAAATATGAACAAGTTAAACAGTAAATATTAATACTCATTATGGATAATGGTATTGAATGTAACTATCTTTTGTTGCTCCTCAAAAACTTGTTTTTTTTTGTATATAAACTCTAAATAAATAATTCAATTATCTTCTTGATGTTAAACAAAAAAGTGACGAGTCGAATTAGTGTAGGATTAAGATTTTGAAACACAATGGAATATATCTTTCGATTAACGATGAAAGAAGATATGTTCATTGAACTATATGAAGAACATAAAGAAATTATAGCAAAAAGATCATGACATACTGAAGATGAGATGAAATACGATTGTTCGAAATAGAATCTTCGATTGTTATATTCGGATTCATTGCAGAACATGCTTAGGGAACTAATGCTGAATAGTTAGTTTCACTAAGAGCTTTTGTCGAGTATTACGCAGAAGAATAAAAAACTATTACAGAATTTATCAGATAGTAAAAACGATAATCTGACAAAAGAAGTAAACGACATGTTTTATTGTTTTTAAGTTGGGACTATATATATATATTATGTAGATTCTAGTGGGTTATGAATAGCAATAAACTATAAATTCGAACTCTTTTCAGTTTATTCATAAATCATCAGGATCTACCTGGTGTGCCTGCTTATTGTTCAAAAGCAGTTAATCAATTGTGGGACTTTCGTCGTAGGCAAAATCTTACAAAAAATGTTTACGAATTCTTTACTTGAAATAATCTTTTAAGATATTTTTCTTTTGTTTTTTTTAGTTCTTGGATAACTACATGTTGCACTCGTATATTTTCTTATAAAATATTTATACGTGTACTTTAATAGTTCGTTTTAATGTATTTCGTATACAAACAGTTCTTCAACAAGTTTTACTTATATTTGTTTCTTTTTTCATATAATTATTAACATCATAATATTGATTAACAGTGAGGTTGGAAATCAATTGATAATGGTTATATATGTATTCAGAGTATCTTCATTTATTTATGTGATTCTTTCACTTATTTTGTCAATCGTGTCATATCCGATTGTTGGTATGTTATTTCATAAAAGAATCGAAATTTACTTGTACCAAATCTCATTGAATGGATCAGATGTCTTTTATATCATTATTTTTTAATGCATATTATATAAGTTTCTTATACTTGCTTTAAAAGGATTTTCTCGTCTTACATTAGCATCATTAGTGTTTTATTTTAATAATAAAAAAGTAGAAAAAAAAAACAAATATTAACATGCTACACATCATTATGCAATAATAATAATAGTTAACAATAATAAATAGACTATCTGATTAAATGGTAGTATGTAATAAGAAATTTGAAGACTTTACTATTAAAGATATGGTTTTTATTTATTGCATCATCTATTCAAGGAACATATATAATATAAAATGAAATATTCAATAGAATCAAAGACAGAAAAAAACAATGTTTATTCATGTTTAAAAGTGTCAATTTCACATCTTGTTTTTTTAATGTCAATATTACCTATTTTACATTAGTGATAAAAAATGCAATTATAATCAGTATACAAGGTATCTTTTATTTTTTTCTGAATTAGATTATGAATAAATAAAAAAAGAACATATTGACATGTATTCAGTGCAGAATCAAACGAATGAATCTGCTAGCTTTTTTAAAGATTCAACTGATGTAGTGTTCACGTTTTTGTTTTCAATATCAAGTGTTACTTGTATTGTTGAACAAGAGAAGAATAGTGAAGAAAACAATGAATTGAAAAGAAAATCAAAACCATTCACAGCCAATGATAATAATTGGTATATACAGGATGGTCTTGAGTGACGAAATTAAAAGTGAAATCTGATACTGCATATGTGTGCAGCCGGCAAAAGTTAATCTTCAGTTTATGACTTTATTAAGGCATTTTCCTAAAATCCTATCTAAGCGGATCTCATGGGAAAAGAACTTGTTCATCCCTTTTGAACTTAATTGCCGTTATTTTCTATCTGTTAAAATATTTTAAATTATGACATATGGTTCTTTTGGCAGGTCTTAAGTTATTAGATAAATATGCGATAGATTTCGACATATCATAGGAAGCGTTTTTATATCAAAATTTATTAACAAAATTTTTTCATGAATATATGACTGCACGTATTAGAAAGCATTTATCTATGTCAGTGTCCAATCTAAGATCTGAGTTTGAACTAAGTCAAACTCTGAATCAAGCAACAATCGAAACTCAATTAGGGTCCTGAAATTGATATAGGATTCTGAATTTCTTTTTTTTTTTTTTGATGAGTTATGATGTGACGATAATACTTCTTTTTTGGACAGAGCTGGTTGATCATGAAAGTTTTATTTAAATAATTAGAAAAAAAGTTTGTCGTTGAAAGTAAATACCATCGATTTGTCAACAGTGTTCACACTTCCGAAAAAGGAAATTTCGAAAGTTTCGAAGATTTCAAGCATATGTGTGCTGAATTGTACGTTACTTCCTAAAATGATGTGATTTCCGAAAATTCCGCAATCATGTACTTACAGAAATTTCTGAAACTACAAACATTTCTAAAATTTTAGTAATTTCCAATATGTCTAAAAACTTTTGATTTGTACTGCTGTATACTTATCGAGTTGATGGAAATTTCAGAAATTTGGGTAATTTCCTTTCTTGAAAATCAGAACATACCTCAGTAATTTCACAAAAACTGTTATGACTCATATACATTAGTAAAAACATTTTTCTATAAAAACAATTACTTTTTATAATTGTGATATTGTGTTATAGAGGAATAAACAAAAATATTTACAACATCTAATAACATATTCAATATCATCATATTAATTCATTTATATGTTGTGATACAATAATGTAGCAACAGAAAACAATTAAAATTTTATAAATTTGTTTTCGAACCTTAATTATTGTGCTTTTTTGTCAGTAACTCAGATTCTCATATGTGTATGCCTCATCTAAAGCTGAAAAAAAAATATTTGCATAGGTCATGAGTATTGACGCATATTTATCATGGCGTGATGTGCCTCCTAGTAATGTTTTTATGGGTTCTGTAGCAACTCTATTGACTTTGAGTCATATTATTGGCTATATAAAAAAGCAAACGAATGATAAGAACAATATAAACCATTGACATTCTTTACTATCAAAAAACCTCATATCATATTAATTATGCATCTTTTTCTTGGTTGGCGTCCAATGCAAGATCGTATTGGTTCTATAGGACATGCGATTGAACATTGTTTATGGGGTGATGGTCGTGCTCTTCATACATTTTTATTAGCATCAACTGATGAATATTCTTTAGTTTTAATTGAAATCGATGTTGGTGATAGTGAGAAAGGTATTCATAAAAGTATGAAATTAAATATTGTTGAATTAGATGAAATACCTAAAGAACTTGCAAGAATTGAACTTATTGGTGAAACTAAATCTCCAAATGCATTAGAAAATCTTATTCAATCTGCACATAATTATGTGCGTGATCATCCAAATTATCATGTTCTATTAAATAATTGTCGAACATTTGTTGAATATCTTATTGATGATATACCTGAATTTCATTCTTCAATACCACGTAAAAATGGTTCTATATTAGAATATTATCATAGTCAAGCAAAACATCAACATCCAGGAGCAATAGTTAAAAGTAAAAACCTTTTGAAACGCATTCGAGATCGTCATCAACAAAATAAAGTATCTAAATATGCTGGTAAATTAGTGTTGCACATACCTCGACTTGAATCGTACATTAATAGTAATAATATACAAACTGTTGAAAAACAATTGTAAAAAGGACAAACGATGTATTTTTTTTTATTAGACTTATGATTTGTAATATTAATTTCTAGCAATATATTTTGTTAAACAAACCAAGGATGTTTAGCATGTCTAAAAAGGGATTTGACGCACTGTGAAGTCAACGGACGCTTACAACTAACGGTACCTGAAGAATTTTTATTTAATGTTTTTGGTGCTTGAACACTTTTTGAAAAAGTGTTCCGTTTCTTAACATTGGAGTATAAATAACCATATAAAGTTGAAAAATACAACGAAAAAGTACTTCATTAGGCACGATGTAACTAGACATATTTTGTAGGGTGTTCATTTCAATCATAACCTGTTTTGAATATACATTTGAACAAATTTAAATTTAAGGTATATCTAAATATTATGCTTCTCACAATGAAATTCATTAAGATTTAATTCATCAATTTAATAAATAACTATCAAAATGAGATAATAAACCAAATGATATCTAATATAAGACTGAGTCTATCAACAGTTGACTTTATTCTGTTAATCTTTCAGCAATTCATGTACATTTCTTTTGTAAAATACACTCTAGAACGAATGTTAACGTATGGAGGTAGAAATTTCGATCCTGCTACTAAAACCCGTTGGATTCACAATTTATAGACTTGATCAACAGAAAAAACTTACGACTCGAATCCAACTTATCCGGAACAAACTCGACGGGCTCTACTCCTACAGATATAACCATGGAAACGTTACAAGTCATGGTAGATGCTTCAACAATATTTCTTGCTTCTGTTCCCTCTCCATCCGGTGTCACAGACTTTATGTCAATTGTGTCTGGTTATAATATATGAATTACTTCCTTATTGCATTTCTGGGGGATTAAGTAAAAGAATGACACAGAAATGCATACAAAAATATATAGAATAAAACAATTGTGCTGGGATTAGCAACAACAACTACATCGTCTATCACATTTTAATTCCACAAGGATCGTGCTAACGGCTTTTTAAAAAGTTACTAACAATAGAGTCTAACAACTGATATGATAGAGGCACGGGCATCTCTGCAAGGGAAGTGGACATATGTGGAATAGCCAACCCTATTTAGAATATGAAATATTTTGTGAATTCATATGTAACGAAGATGGCCTTAATATATATGCAAAATTTTCTAGCTACCATTTGTTTTTGTTTACGAATTCCTATTTTTCGTTTCAAGCGATGATCGATCCCGAATATAAGAATCTATTAAGCTGGTTGATTACTTCTAAGAGAAAATAACGGATACAAAAGAATTATAGTCTATTGTTTTCTACGTGTCTACAAGAGACAAATGTTAGGAGTTCTTACACATAATATTTCGGAATCGATATGTATAGATAGTTTAATTAAATTATACAAAGTAACAAGTTTGTCATTGAATAAGTAATTCAATATATCTGAAATCAATTTTTAATGTTTCATGAAAGTAAGATTCAATTCACATATCTTTGTTTCTAATACGACTACTATTAAAAAGCAAACTTCGATCTGTTTAAATCATTTTAGAAAATATTTATTTTTATCTCTTAAGAAGATGTATTCAATAAATTTTCTTAATTGATATCAACTCATTTTTCCTACGTATAGAATCAACATTTGATAGAACAACAATAGAAAATTCAATTTTTTAACGTCACCCTTCCCTAAAAAAATCCATATTAGATTAGGCGCATTCAAATTACATGAAATTTTCAAGATAACTATGTTGGAGCTGTAGTACCGAGCCTCCAGTAAAATGTTTAGCCATATGTCATGACTTTTTAGAAAAATATTCAACAGATAAAGGTTAAAAATAGCATACTCACACAGAATTCTTTGTAAATTATCATTCCATATACTTGATCTTTTTCTTTACAAGAGCATGTCAGAATGTAGGATATTAAAGAGTTATTCTTTTTAACCTCTTCTTTTTTAAGACAAGAGAAACGGTCGATATCCTGAAAAGCTCTCAACAAATGGTGTTCTAACTGTAAAAGTACTCTTATATATAAATGTAATAAAGCTTCAATTAAAAAAGGACTCCGTCATTTACTTATCTTGATATACTTTTTCAAATAAAAAAAAAAAACAAAATTAATTATATACTATGGAGCTTACAAAGAATTCAGGATTGCGTGATCGAAAAAGCATAAATTGAAAAATAGTACAAAAAAAAGATACATTTCAAGCAGAAGATGACGGAAATCATTAAAAATTTGACACCAAGGACTATTATATCAATGTCGATTTTTCTGATAAAAATTGACTTTATTTTTAAAGTATATTTAAACAGATCTTCTTGTCAAACATTGACGGAATATTACTCAAACGTTCATTTCACATAATAAAGAGTTTATAACTACTTCATGATACAAACACAAGTTCGAAATGCCTGATTGAGTTGAATCGATCATAGCATGTTTAGAGTGTTTCATAAAAGAACATTATTGAATAAATCAATAATCAAATAAGATTTTTTATTGAATTTCTTCTAACGCATATTACTTTTTGAAGAATATATATGAATTTCATGGATTATCTATTTGAATACGCTTACAGAATTTATTATAGAAATACTCAAACGGTTTTTTTTTACTTCTTAAGTATTTTTAATATTTACATTTAATTAAAAAATAACTTTTAAAGATTTTGATACAAGAATCGTTCGTTAATTTTTAAGATTATATGTGTATCGTCGAGTACATTTCAAGCAAAACAAAAATCAGCCAATAAAATATGCATGTTAACTGAGTAGTCTGTCATTTTTTCCAATGCCTTCATCAGACATCGTTTTCTTCTTTTTTTATTTTACAACTAATGAGGAGTCTTTATGTATTATATCTCTTGTCATTCTTTTTCTTTTCTCTCATGAAAATCTTTAATATCTAATGACATAGTCACATTGAATAGGTTGACATAAAATACAAAAATAACTAGAAATCTAGTACATTGTTTCAATGAAAAAAAAAAATAATCATGAATGAAAATATTTACACTCAATTAAGTCGTTATACACAACCAATATTAATTCTATTTGGTACAATTGGTGCTTTATTAAATCAAATATTATTTAATCGTAGAAAATTAATAAAAAAAGCTTCATGTACACTTTATTGGCGAGCATTATCATTCAATGATCTTCTTGTCTTGTATATTATTGTATTAACACAATGGTTCAATGATCAATTTCATTTTGATCCAAGTATTAAATATTTATGGTATTGTAAAATTCGAACATATGCGACTTATTGTCTATATGCTATATCACCTTATTGTATTGTTTTGGTTTGTATTGATCGTTTATGTCGAACATCAAAATATAGTTCTTTACGAAACATTGCTACTTCATCTATAGCTCGTAAAATAATAATAATAACAATTATAATTATATGTCTTGTTTATTTTCATATTCTGCTTCAATTTAATATAATTCAATCAATATGTCGTCCTTTACAATTTTCTTATTATCGTTTTCTTGGTTATTTTGTTTTATTTTTTTATTGTCTTTTACCACCTATATTAATGTCGGTATTTTCTAGTTGGACATTAATATTATTACATAGTCATCGTAAAAGACAAGAAAAAAAATACAAATTAATAATAATATTACCACATAAACATCATTGTAGTCGTGATTATCAATTACTGAAAATACTTTTTCTTTATGTAGCAACAAATATTATTTGTACATTACCATTTTCTATTCTGATGTTACTTGATGTTCATCGATATCATTCTAGTCATCAATTAATTACATTTATTAAATATTCTCTACTTCTTTGTAATTTAAATCATTGTACAAGTTTTTATATTTATACATTGGGAACTCCATTATATCGTCGTGAATTATTACATTTAATTGAATCTTTTCAAAGACGTGTTGTTCTATGGTTTGATTTACCTCATTAAAAAAAAATTAATACTCTAATTACTTTCATTTGTGTCTAAACTACGAATACATCAATTTTGTATAGTTCTCTTTGTAATCCAAAAATTAGTTTTGTTTTTCTTCTATCAGTGCACATTTTGTTATATATAAGCTCATCAATCATTCTTAGTATAATAAAAATAGATGATGAACAATAAAAAATAATTGTGTAAATCGGCTTTGTAAATGTATAAAGTTTTTGAAAAAAAAAAGAACAAAATGATTCCAATTGATAAAAATAAAAGATAAAATTCTATTTTAATTTTAATCTCTTTAGAAAAAATGCTTTCTATTTTTTTCCGAGAAACTTAATCCATTTCAAAAATATTCACAAGAAATTTGTATTCTTAACATGCTAGATGATAATCAATATAATAAAAAATAAAACTACGTAATTTTCCTTATCTTAATCATTTAGCGGACGTATCCTGTGCGTATATGTTTCTGTCATCATCGGCACTTGCAGGTGGCACGCCCTATGTGTATGTTTTCATCATTAAACTCACTTGCAGGTGATAAACTGTATGCATGTAATTGCGTCCTTAACCCTTTACCCCCCCTTGGTCGCTGGAGTGACCATTTGTAGAACGACTGCGGAAAAGAAAGGGAGCATCGGGTTAAAAAACGCTAAGCACCTTTTTTGTAGTAAACTTCATGGGCTATCCATTGGTAGAAAGACTGTTCCTTTTGATTGCTCCGTCTTTGAAATAAAGGGTCTAAAAAATCGAAAATTTTGAAAAAATGAAAAAAATTGAAATTTTTTAAGTAAAATACTTTCTACTCGCAGCCAATAGAGATCTCATGGAATTTCTATGTGATATTAATTGATGAAGAAGTTCTTTGATAAATAAAATATATTTCAAAATTTTAGTGATAACTCAGCGAATATGACATACAAAGAAATATGATTGATCATGTAGCCACCAATTGACCTATGGGGCGAAATCAAGAGCACAGTTAATACATATATTAGATACCTCGACTCATGAGAAGTCGAAACTCTATTTATGATGAATTCAATTTGATGAGAGGTTATTAAATGGTCAAGAATAAAATTGGCTTTAATTTGAAAAGACATCTAAAAAACGCATGTATTCTTTGGTGTTCATTTTTATGGGTTTATTTCTCGTCTTTTTTCCATTATTCTAATAGCGCGAGATAGATGTTCCTTCTGTTCACTCAATATTGCGGTCAAAGAATAAAAATCAACTCTTACGGTGTAGTTCAATTTTCTTTCCCTACCCCATGATTTCTGGATAAATCAAATCGTCCTACTCTTGGAGCAGAACATTCGATGGATCAGATTATGCCATTTGCATACTAGCGAGGGTAGTACTGTATTAATAAAGTTATTTTATCAGTGGCTCTTCTGGAACCTCCATGGGGGGTAAAGGGTTAATCTCATCTATGGTCATAATATTAACACTGAATAAGTTTCGACAATAATTTATTCTATTTTCTAGAAATCAATAAAGAGCCTCTCATAATAACTGAAGATTAATTGTCAGTGATATTGTCATACTTTTTCTTGATGTAGAAGGCTGAATTGTTTTTATCATATATATTCTAACCAAGACTTCTTATTTCCTAAATTTTCAGCTCTCTAGCTAAAATTAATGCTGAAATCCATGAACAAAATTAACAGACATAAATTACCGTACTAAACATTAATAAGGTTCGAGAAAATTCAAAATTTTAGCAAATCTTTATTAGTATTTAATTTAGTGTCATTCGATTGAGCACATTAAATTGCCAATAAAAAACTACTTTTCTAATCTGGGGGAGAAGTTGTTCCTAGAAAATATTTGAAAAAAGACTCAATTCTAAAAATTATGATTGAAATCTTTCATTATCATAGATATATAAATATTTTATTCTATTTTATTTTTAGCTTTATGAATCATTATAAGAGTTAATTATTGATTCCGCAAACAAGATTGACCTAAAAAAAAACTTATCTACATAAGACTTTTTTCTGGTCAATGGTGTTTGCAGAATCAAGAAATAAACGTTTATTATGCTCTACAAAGTTAAAAATGAAATAAAATATTTTTATATTTAGTCTTTTTTTCCGATATTTCTCGGAAAAATTTGTTTCCAAAAATCATACAAGTAGTTTTTCATATGTAACTCAATCAAAGGACATTAAACAAATTGAAAACAAAAATTTGCCAAAACTTTTATTTTAAATATCTACTACTTACGAAAGCAGAAAATATCGACGTATAGGATCGGTAAATAGCGGTTCCGAATTTGCTGATGTATAATGTAGATGTCGAAAATGTATGAAGTGTACTGAAAAAAAAAGTTCGTGAAAAAGTATTTGGTATATCGCGTTATAATTAGAAAAAGAAGATGTACAAGAATGAAGAAATTTTTCAAAAGAAAAATCATAGATGAAATATCTTATCAATTTCAAGTGATAAATATGAAGAAAACTCATTATAAGAGTAAATAAGTATTTTTAGTGTAAATAAAATATTTTAATAATTGTTTTGCTTTATGTTTATTTCAGATTAGTTATTTGTATTATTCATTGTTTTTTCTAATAAACATGTAAAATTCAAGAAACAAAGCAAATTATATAAGAAATAGAATAGCAAAAGAATCTTGTCTGATAATCAAGAAAATCAAGAATCTGAAAAGAATGATGTCTAGATCGTCGACTAGTACATGTATGTAAATTCATGTATTTTAATCTTGTTTATGCCTTCTAATATCGATTTTTAGCGAAAGAACTGAAGCTTTGAAAAGTGAAAGCTCTTGTTTTGATATATATGTAATAAAAGTTTCAGCTTTCTACGTTAAGTAAAAGAATAACAAATGTCGCTATTGATTTATCCTCAGTTATTTTAGGATATTCTTCAGTGTTGCAAGAAGTCATTTTGGTTTTTCGGAAAGTCATTTGATTTCTGGAAACTCAGTCAATTATCCAAAAAGTCATATAGAGCATCATATGCTTTAGGTTAAGACAAGCTTTCGAGAAACGTGGGTTTCATTATATGCATACAAAATAAACATTGATAGCGTCTCTTTGGGGAGGAAGAATGCAAATCGCTATACGCCGCGACATCAATATCAAAGGTTAATGACTCAGGCAAAAGGATTTCTCTACAGGTTGATATTCAATATAAGTTTTTTTTTTTAATTTGTCGAGGACTTTGGACATCAATTACTGTGTTAAATTCATTTTTCTGACTAATAATGATAATGGAGATAAAATGTTATCTTTTCATTTTGTTCGATAACACATGAATATAAATTACTTTTTCTTCAAAACTAAACAAAAAGTAGGTATATACTTTATTAATAAATCTCAATATATAATGTGGTACGCTCTTTAGATTTTCAAAACATTCAAATATTTGATTTTCATCAGAAAACTATCGAAATTATATATGCCATTTAATAGAAGAAAATACGGCGCATAGAATAAACATATAATAGAATCTCAAAGATCATTAAGAATTTCTCATCTTTTCGAAAACATTGAGATATAAGATAAATTCATCATTTTATCGATTTTGTTGAAATTCATTTTTACATCTTACCTAAATTCTAGATATAAAAATAAGTGGTGCTACATGCTACTCTAACTTGTTTTTATATTTTATATAAATATTTTGTTCTATTAGAACGAATTATTTGAAACACTTTTGTGAAACATGATGAAAAAAGAGTGTCCAAATATAGCAATAAAGAGTTTTGATACTTCCACCATAGACCGTAACAGATGTTGATATACGATCACAGACTGTATATCTATAACGTTTGATTATAATAAATGAACTATTTCCTTATTACATTTTAGGAATATGAAGTAAAAGTATGGTGTAGAAGTTTGTCCTATAATAGATGGAATAAAACAATCATCTTGTGATTAGCAACAGTAGCTATATCGTCTTTCGAATTTTAATTCCATAGGAATTTTACTAACAGATTGGTTTTAATTCTATATGAAATATTTATTGACATTGACAGTAATACCTTAAACACAAAGTAATAGTAATAATAAATTAAGATAAAATATTATATTCCATATTGAAATTGAATGATAATAAGCTTGATTACATGCATCTTTATCACATATACTTAAACATCCACGAAATCGTCGATGTGGATGAATCCAATCAAGTTTAATAAAACCACAATGACTAGTACGAGTTATTCCATTATCATCACCTTCATCTCTACTACATGTGCGATATGTATATTGAACAGATTTAGCTTCTATTATAAGAAATAATTCTAATAATTATGATAATAAAATGTGTTTATACCTCCTGAATAAGCAACTAATTTAATACAATGTGTTGCAGGAAAAAGACCTTGACGTCCACGTAAATTAGTTAAACATGGCGTCTGAAGAAGTGATGTTGTACCCGACATATCGCCTTGAAAGAAATCTTCACATAATGGATTACTACCGTTGATTGAAAAACATTTATAACAAGATATTGATGATACTAAAATAAAATTTTTATTTTATATCTTTGTCTTTATTTTTATTTTTTTTTGATAAAATAAATTTTTTCACATACCAATATCGATTATTGAAAATATAGTGAATAGAAAATAAAAAGAAAGGTTAAACATTATTATATCGTTCGTTGTTCTAATAGATATGACGTTTTTAAGAATAATTTTGTATACATGTACTTGATCTTTATGATCGTAATTCTGTTGTTAGTGCTGTTCGCTTCCCTAACAGTTTGACATATGAATGGGAATGTCTATGTGCTACTGTTGATAATCAATGATATATTATACATATGAAGAGGAGTCTACTTATCCATTCGGATAAGATATATTGCGATAACATACATCATGTAGTTTTTCCATTAAATGAAATATAAGAAAAACAATAATCATTGTAAAAGAGAAGAAAAATAGAAAAATTTTTCATAAGCTTATTGACTTGAGAAAATCGAAAAAAAATCTTTGGTTTTCTATTCCGACATTTTCTATTCTATATGAAATATGGCTACAATTTTAATAGAACATTTGCCATCAATCATATATACAAATATGTATATATATATACATATATATAAATGCTTTGCCATAAATCAAAATTCAGATACATGACTGTCACATTCTAAAAGATCGATTGCAGGAAAATGGTTTTTTTTTACAGAGTAATGTTAAAAATATGCAAGATAATTAAAAAATCATCAGCAGTTTTTTTTCACCATTGAATTCAATCTAATTATAATTTGCAGCATGTGTATTACAAAGCGGTCTAAAATAATATGTAAATCACCTATAAATAATATATTTATTTTGATGTCATATTTGATCCTACGCAGCATTTGTTGTTGAAGTCAAAGTGTTCTATTTTCTTAAGCTAAAAATAGTTACCCTAATTGGAAAATATATTTACGACGCAGATAGATACAGTCAGAGATAATAAAATCGGACCGATTATGGATTACCAGAGAAATATAAAACCAGCTGGCTAGCTAGTTTACATTCCACACCATTATTGATTCTGTTTTAAGTCTGAAAAGTCAAATTGCAGCATAGTTTAGACTCTATATTATCCTATGAAAACTTTAATATAAGGACTATGCTTGAACCAAAATCATTTTTATATAAATCTTGTATACAGCCAAAGAACCATCAAAGTTTTTAAAGAAATCTTCAAAATCTTATCGATGAAATTTACATGAGAAAAAAACCAATTGTACTATTGGATTCATCTTTCCTGTATAAATGTATTAATAATTACATGTCTATTCTTCCATACGAGTAGACAACAGTTGCCACGATCAAAATAAAAATACGTATAATACTCCAAAACTATTCTTTTTATTTATTTATTCCAACATCCATATTTAACATTTAGATAAATATAGTAATAAAAAAAAAACAATTCATAATTGATAGGAAAAAAAAACAAATTCGACCAATAACAATAAACAATAACAAATAATCTCTTATTATATTTTTGATAATATGTACAAATAAAAAAAAATACCTAAGTAGAATACGGCAATAAAAGAAAGACACAAGTAAGTAGTGCGGTACCAAGTAGATCTCCAATTGCTGTCAAATATGGAATGCATACATTATCTGGATCACGTTCATGTCTCCATACAAAAGCTACCATCCATTGAGCAATGTATAGAAGAATAGCAACCTATTTATATTAAGAATAAATATTATTTTTATATTTTTAAAGAAAACAAAAATTTTACTTGAATAAGTGCGGCAATAAGATAAAAAAATATGAAAATAATCGAAAGTCGAGTATGATCTGTTGCTAATTTGGAAATAATAAAAACAAATGTTAGATGACCTGGTACAGCCATAAATAATAAAACACGTGTTGTTGATGAATTACTTTCTAAAAATAAACTTTATATAATTCAAAACTCAATAAAAATATAAACATACTTTTCGAAAAAAAAACTTTATATGGATTAGGACAAATTTTTGAAGCATAATAATGTGCAGCATCTTTAAATTCTCCTGGTTTACCATGTTGATGAAGAGCAGTAGAAAGTCGACTTGCTTGAACAGCTACTAAATTACCACCAACACCTAAAACCAAAAAAATATATTCGATATTAATATTAGAAAAAAAAAACTGATCAATCCAGTTCTTAATGGCATGAAATTTAATTAGGCATCAAGGAAATATTCAATCGAATTCATTTCTACAGTTCGAAACTTAATTGTCGTAGTAACTTGCAGTAAGCATTCATTCAATCGCATATCATACGGTAACAGGAGACGTGCGAAACCAATTTTCTTTAGTCTCAGTCTCAGTAACTCCTTTTTCTATCGTTCCAATGTCATACATCTCGAACTACAATGCATTCTATCTTAAATTCTAATGAAAAAGAAACAAATTCATTTATGATGAAAGTTAAAACTTGATTAGTGTATCTTTTTTTTGTTTCGACTATTGTATATAGATATCCAGCTAAAAATAATAACAGGATTTTAACGTTTTAAACTTATTTCATTGATTATGAGCTGTATCAATAAACTATCAAGTCAGAAATATAAAAAAATATTTGCTTTTGCTAACAGAACGTAGAATAATTCAATGAATCGTTTGGTTTAATCAGACATTGAAAACTAACCTGAACTCAAACTTATTGAATTTAAGATTTTCGATTGACAACTATAGCATGTAGTCTAATAATAATACTGAAATTCTACTTTTGACATTCTCTAGTAGTTTTTCCTTACTTCTATTTTCAAATGACAGAAAAATTTTGTGTCACGGAACTCATCAGATACAAATATTTTCTTTCAATGAGGCAAAAACAACCGAAACGATTTAGAAGCATATCTAGTGGTATATATCTCATAGCATTATTAAACTAAATTAAAAGATAGAACGTTCAAAAACGTCTTATAAATGATAAATATTTAAAGAATGCTCTAAATATTGCTCTCATTGACATGTATAGTTATCTTTTCTAAATTAGTGACGATAGACAAAAGTCGCGAAAGATGTCAACTTAGACTCTACACTCTTTATTTTTCCTTTGAAAATACAATAGTGAATTGTAAGAAGAAGAAAAAAACACGATTTACCATTCATAACAGGTTGAAAAACAGCAACACCACGAAGTGTTTGAACGGCAAAATCTAATATAAGACCACCCGCACTATTTCAAAAAGAAAAACTTCATAAATTCAATTCAATTAATATTTATTTACCTGGAAATAAACATTGCAGCTACAACTGGTGACCTATAAAAATTGACTTATTCCTAATGGAGATATATTCTATCAAATATTTTTACATACCATCCATGAATAAGTACATCTTTAACATATTCATTTCGATAAGAAATAACAATCCAAATTGGTGTTAAAATTAAAAAAATAATTGTTATCATTATTGGTAACCATGTATAATTATCTTAATCGACGAAAATTTTTAACTAATAATTTTCAAAATCTATCGTATTCTTACCAATAATTTTAAACAAAAAACCACCAATACCAGCTAAAACAGCTAACGTTGTTAAATCTCCTAATGATGCTGCTATTGGTGTAGCAATATTATCTGGATTGACTTTACATTTATGAGAACTGACAATTACAATAATCATTATTCCACCTTAAGAAAAGAAAAAGAGACAATTTATGGATATGTAGAATAGATAAACTTATATTTATTATCATTATCAATGATATTAAATACAAACTTTGTAATTATAATATAAATAGAAAATTAATTCATTTGAAAGAAATTATCAAGTTTATAACAAAATTTTCCGAGGAAAAAAACTTTTATATTTGATAGATATTAAAATTTTCAATGTATGATTCAAATCATTTTATGAATGTTATTAAATTAAGATGAAAGGTATAGACAGAATTAATAGAAAATATTTCTGAATTCATTTTCATTTTTCTCAAGATAACAATGAAATCAATAGGAACAGTATTAGTAACTCAAAAATTAAAATGACAATGGACCATATATCGACATGTCTATTACAAACCTAATGCTAATGAAGCAATGGATGCTGTTGCAACACTACTACTACATAAAACAAGTGCATGTCGAATATTAAAATGTCCTTGTGGTACCCAACCCATAGCAAGTGATACAATAGCGGCCAAAAAACCAACAATAATAGCTTGTAATTGTGTTAAAACTATATTTCCAAAAATCATACTTCGAAGTGCAGCTTTTTTATCCATATTTCCAATATTAGCCTAAATAATGAAAATTTTTTCTTTTCAATAGTCTTGTGTGGAACTCACATATTCAACGAAGAAAAATAGTGAGTGTAAGTTATAAGACGAGATTTTTAGGCTTCCGTCTCATAGCAACTTGTAGTAAAGCGTGATAATTCAGGTATAGATTAATGCTTTTAATATTTCAGATTACAAAAACTGTGGGTTCATGTTTTTGTGAACTCAAAACCGTATCTGAGAAGAGCTAACCTTTGGAGCCGAAACCTGTCGTATCTCGAACGGAATTTTTTCTACCAACATTTGGCACACTCTTTAGATATGAATAAGTGAAGGATCAAGGTTTTGAGACTACTCTCAGACAGAAAAAAAGTCAACATACAGTTATTTCTTATTGTTTGATTTTCTCGCTACTCGATACATAATAAAATAAAGGTTTTCAATTAGTTCAAAAAAACATTATGGTTAACAAAAATTGTCAAATAAACAATAACATAAAAAATCATCAACTGTGTAAAATAGTTTTAGTTGAATTTCTGTGTACGATACCAAGCAAGAATATGCTCTATGCAATCAATGTAGGGAGCGGCAGAGTCAAACCTGAAAGGGTCCATGGCTTTCTACTGCTGATAGTCATAAAAAATACTGGAAAAAGCGCTCACTATAGATTAAAACAATGGTAGTCACAGATCAATAGTAAGGTTTTCATAGCAAACTGAAACGACAAACACTAGCGTCCTTTTCTATAGCTCCTTAGCAATGAAAAAAATGCACTAACAACAAGGTTTAGATGATTCGAGAATATTTCAAAGCTTTTCTGAAATTTAGATCAATGAAATACGTTTTTGAGTAGCGTCATTTCTGCTTTTTTCTATGTTGCCGATAGGCGATTATATGATAGATATCAAAGATTATGACTAGTGATGCTTCAATTCGTCACAATCGACAGTATAGCCAACAATAAAAGTATGAACTGATGGAAAAAAAAACATTCTGTTCAACGTCATGAAATAAATAAGACAGATCGTTTATCTAACGGTCGATTATTCTTGAAAAGACACCTTCATTTGTTAGAAATCTTTTACTTAACACACATTGTATATAGTATAATGAAGCTAAAAAAAGACATGTGAGTTCCACATATTTTGCTCTAACGAGCTGTGTTAACAAGCTTTTTTTTAATTAATTAAAAATAAACATACTTGTGTAGATAGACGTGACGCTAATGTCATTTCTAAATTTCCTTTTAAACCAAGTAAAGCTGGAACAAGTATATAAATTTCTGTTATTTCTTTAAATACACTTAATTCCTAAATATAAACATAAATACATCAGTGATTTTGAACAATCACAATTATGAAAACAAAACAATTTTCAAATACAACAAATGATCAATTTCTGTTCTTTTTTGTTTTTAGCACATTTAGCAATCAAGAGTTTGTGAAAGCTATCTTTAACATATCGATACCATCACTTGAATAGTTTATTTAACATACACAATCTTATAAATTATTTGAGCAATAAAAAAAAAACACAAAGAAGCACTTGACGATTTTCAAAAATCGATTGTCTACAAGTTAGTCAATTGAGTTCGCAAAAAGATTCAAAATAAATATTTCGATGTCACATTGAAAATACTGATTTATGCAGATAAAACTATACAGAATAGTTTGTGCTCTAGTGAGCATCATAATTAATATCTATGTTGCTCTATCTACAATCAATTTCTTCTAAATATTTTTTTCAATCATCTTTGATTCAAAAATATTGATTATCTTAATTGCTACACTGAACTAAATATTTAATTACTTTTTGATCGATCGTATTTGTTAAATCAATAGTTGATATATTTTGAAGTGCAATAGCAAAAAAAACAAGACATATCTTTGAATATATGATTGTATGTTATAATAATAACTTTTGATATGTTTGGCGCTAGCTGATCATCTTTGCCTTTTCATTCTATTGATAAATAGCTTTAGAACATTTTTGATATAATACTGATGATAAGAGGTTTGCTCTCATTCTCTTATCTATCTCTTCTTTGTAAAGAATGTTTGACTATTGACTTATGAAACATTATTATCAAACATATTCACTTAAGTAAATTATGATTGATGAAGATTTTTTTTGTTCTTTATGCTTGGCATTCGAAAATGTGCACTTATGTATGTGTGATAAATCTCAAGTTTGAAACATATTATCACTATAAATATTTTCTATCTCGCTTTAGTCGGTCATGTTCAAGAAAATCTTCAAACAATATTTTTAACAAATAGAATATGCACGAGTAAGCATTGTTACTGGCTTGAATGCTTACTGAAGTAAAAAGTTGACTAACTGTATCCTATGGCATTTTATCGAGCCAAAAAAAAAAGGACAGAAAAATTAAGTTTATTCTACGTATCAAAGATGTTTTTTCGATGGTATACAAAAAATTTAAGCTTTACAATTTTAATCATTAAAATAAAATGAATTTTACTAATAATTCATGTAAATCTTTCAGAACATTATCAATATATCAAAGATAGAATCTGATCAGATTAGCTTATATAGTGAAAGTTTAGTTTATAGTGGACTGAGATAAATGACTAATTTATAACAATGAAATATTGATACATTGAATTAGATGTCATCACTTAGTTCATTATCTTTCTTTCATATTTAAAAGTATATGAATTTATTGTTTGATAAAAATAATTTAATTTTGAGAATTTCTTGACTTATTTCTCAGATTAAATATTTTTAAATAAATGGACTTGATCTCAGTTGAGCACACATTATTCAGAGAGGTTTTTTTTTGGTTCGACACTCAACCTATTCGTCTACCAAGAGTCGCTAATTTAAAATTCATGGGAAAAAACGACGAGACGACTAATACCAACCACCATAAACGTTGATTTATATGTCAATAGACATCATATATCATCTTTCGCTATGTTAATTGTTTAATTTTTCAGTGCTAAAGAAGTGCAGGATCAAATCATTCTAGAATTTATTCGTCGAATCTTTTAATATGAGTTTTTTAATTTATTTTCTGAACCACTAGCACTTTTATAAGACATCTCTCTTGAACTATGTTCTGATTCATATGACAATATGCTTAAAACCATAAAATACTTTATTACAAACTTCAGTTTCGATTTTGGAAAATTTATTTCTCATAGTCCTGATCTCAGTAACTTTTCTTTCCTATGCTCATCGTTCCAGTTTCCATAAATCAAAGGCGGAACCGATCCGACTTGTTGTCGGTACTAATTTCATCTCTGATATATATATTATTTAACTATATCTTTGATATAATTTATATATTATTGATTTTTTGGACTTAATACTCTAATGAAACTATTATTCTCGTTATAAAATTTTCAGAAACAGAGAACAATACAACTAAATATAAAATAATTCTTAAAATCTTTTCATTAGTAATATAAAGCAGCATATTTCATATACTCGATAATAGAATATAAACTTAAACTACAATTGAATCATTTTAGTTCTTAAAAGAAATTAAATTTCATTAGTCTACGTAAATCAAATTCACAATAATGATTAAATTAATACCTTAACACGTTCAAGAACAAGTCCAGCAGCTACCATACCACAACCAGCAATCATAAATGGAAGAAAAACTTGACTTGCTATAATATACCATTTTTCTTCTTCGTCATCAAATAATGTTAATGGTCCTGTTTTTAAAGTTACAAAATGAGTTTCTATTAAAATAAATATATTGATGATTCTTTTTTTTTTGTTATGATAAAAACTTACGATTAGGAATGAGTGTTTCAATTTCACTATCATTTTGACTTATGCCCGAATCTGAATTATTATCATTTTCATTCACTATATTAGATAATTCAATTGATTCTATTATTATAGAAAACAAAGAAAATAAATATATAAGTTAAAAAGAAAAATATTTTTTACCATTTCCTTGTAATGAACTGACAATAGTTTGACCTTTAACTAAAAATAATTGATTATATTGTTTGTCAGTTTCGTCCATCATTCATTAATTAAAAAAAAAAAAAAGCTAAATGAAATTGTCCATCTACTATATTATATGTATATTGATGAAAATAAAAATGACAACAAGCGCCACAAACAATTAGTTTAAATAAAATTAAAATTTTTAGAAAAAAACATTCAAAAACTATAAATTTTTTTATATAAAATAAAATAAAAGAAATATTTGTTTTTCTTCGAAATTTATTTTTCATTTGTTCAATTTATTTAACCAATAAAAATCAATTTGTATTGATGATGACGTCTACTCAAACGTAGTTACTTGTTTTCTATCGAAATATGATAACACTTAATAATAATAAACCAGTTTGGGTACGAGATAATGAACATGGATTTGTTATTGGAAAAGTGAATGATATTACTTCTGATAATGTAACTGTTCAATTAAATGATAATAGAAAAGTACGAATAAAAATAAAAAGAAAAATACTATTTTTCAATTATTTTTTTTGTTTTTTTTTTCTAGACACTTGTTGTTCCCTATGATTCAGTATTTGAAGTTGAAGAATATGACAAAGATGTCGATGATAATTGTAAATATATTTAATGATATAATTGATATAAATAAAATTTTATTTATTTTAAGGTGCACTTATGTATCTTAATGAAGCTACTTTATTAAATAATGTTCGTCGTCGTTATAGAAAAGATATGATTTATGTATATATAATAGAAAAATATTTTATATATAATTTTATATATTTCTTTTATATTAATAGACTTATGTAGCTAATATATTAATTGCTATTAATCCATATAAAGAATTACGTGGTGTTTATAGTGTTGATACAATGAAGAAATATAATGGCAAATCACTTGGTGTTATGTCACCACATGTATTTGCTATTGGTATGATAAATTTGAATTAGAAAATTAATTTTAGTAATCAAAAAAAAAAAATTCTTCAAAAATATTTAAGAAACAAAAAAAATATATTTACTTTGGAAAACTTGGTGTGAAATTTATTTTATGATATATAATATGTATATATATATATATATAATCAATGGTTCAGTTTAGTACGAAATATGTAACTTTTGTAGAGTAATAGTCTCTTTTAATTCTTCTTTTGTTTTTCTTTTAGTAGCTAACAAAAAACAGATGTTTATTAATAAATTTGTTTTACTTGGAAATTAGTTACGGTTAACTAAACAAAAATAAGCATTTGCTTTATCTTCTTCTTGATATGCTAATTTGATCGGGATTGCTTGGAAAGTTAAGAAGTAAAATTAAGAACATTAAATCATATTTTACGGATTTGACAACACTCTATATTAAAATATGAGACTACACAGTACTGCTTAAGATTAGAGCTAAATATCTCATTCAAATCGAAATGGTGATTTGAGTAGTCAATGAAGTATTCTATCAAATGCATGGTTTATGAGGATACCATGAATCGCCCATGAAAGTAAAGTTTCTAAAGAAAACTTCATGGCCTTCTATATCGCAAAGCTCGAAGAAGGCTAAATTTAGTAAAAAGTCGATCGAAAGGAGATTCCTCTTATATTTTTAAAGAAGTCTGTAATGCTTTAATGAAAGGTCTTACTACTGTAGTCATTCTATAGAATCTTCATAAATAATACATCTAATAGAGAACTTCATTGACTATTCAAATCACTATTTAGAATTGAATTAGATGCTTAGCATTATAGAAAAAAAAAAACAAGAGGCTTTCTTCCAATTTTTAGCAGTATTGTTATACACTACATGACATTGAAGATGACAAATTCATCACTAATGCTATCAAATAGGATATATGAAAGTTAATTATCAACTCATTGAATACTATTGAATATCTATGAATTTTTTGTAGTCGAAAGATAACAAACATTTCTGTAATTAATTATATATAGAGAAACATCATTACTAGTGAATTTTGAGATTCTTCAGCAAGAAAGTTGACTCATAATTCGTTATCATGATTGATAATCATAACCAAAATATAAAGATCGTCACAACTGAGTGTCTACGTACTTTGACATCTATCCCTAAGGTACCATGTGTAAACAACAGTACCATTATCGATAAAATGACCCCAGGCAAATTACTTCTAAGGACTATTTGTCTTGAATCACTCGTTCGATAGTATGTTGATTACATTGTGACCCCACCTCCTGTTTTGATTAGTTAATGTGTATGAAGAGCACAAGAATCGTTTGTCAGGCCGCCCTTCTCTTTAGAGTTACAGCTAACATTAGTTGTAGGAAAGATATTGTGCTATTGAATTTACTGCAAGGTAAAATTTTTCTTTCTTCTTTCACAATCTAAAATATAAAATTTTATCTTCTCTATGCATCTACTAAAACATATTACACGATCAGCATCTCTTCTGCGTGCGAGTTATACTAACCATATGTGTAGTTACTCACAAATTAGAATTCTATGGAAGCCAATTTCTTATAATTGATCTCATTCTTTGTAAACTTTTCTCACGAATTGAATTAGATACTACTAAAAACTCGTCATTCTATAGTGAAAATAAAAAAATATTTCATAGTGTCACAATCTTTTAACATTACTTTGGTTGTAGACATATTTCTAAGTAGTATTAATCAATATAATTCATTTTATTCATCTTATGAACGAAAAAAACAAAAATTTAATATTTTATTTTAGGTGATAAATCGTATCGTGATATGCGTACTACCCGACAAAGTCAATCGATTGTTATTTCTGGTGAATCCGGAGCTGGTTTGTAGATAAATTTATTGAATTGATTATACATCAATTTGTTATTTTCTTCGTTCGGATAGGTAAAACAGAATCTGCTAAGTATGTTTTACAATATTTAACTGAATCATATGGTGCTCAAAGTGGTTTAATTGAAGATCGTATTAATAAATGTAAATAAAATTTTGATTTATTTTATTATGATTTGTATGTTTGTATATGTATTTTAGCTAATCCATTATTAGAAGCATTTGGAAATGGTAAATCAAATTAAATTTTTTTTTCTTTCTCATTAAAATTTAATGTTTTTTTTTTTTCTTTTTTTAGCAAAAACAACTCGTAATAATAATTCAAGTCGTTTTGGTAAATTTATTGAAGTTCATTTTAATGAAAAAGTATTTCATTTATTTTATTTTTGAAAAATCATATAAAAATTCTTTTTTTGTTTTTATTTAGTATCGTGTTGTTGGTGGTTTTATATCTCATTATTTGCTTGAAAAATCTCGTATATGTCTTCAATCAAAAGATGAACGAAATTATCATATATTTTATCGTTTATGTGCTGGTGCACCTGAAAGTATTCGAAGTGCATTAAAACTTGGCCCACCGGATAATTTTCATGTTTGTATTTAAACAAAAAAAGAAAAATAAGATTTTTATTCATTACAATTACTCTTGTTTTCTTTTTTCTTTGTTTTCGTCTAGTATCTTAAACGTGGTTGTACACAATATTTTTGTAATTCTCAAACTGAAAATAAATTATCAAAAAATCGTCTTAGTCAAGATGTAAGTTAAACACTGAAAAGATTAAATTCATAATCATTATCTATTCAATAGATGTCATAACAAATTATCGAATGTGACTATCTATTATGTTTTTTCATATAAATTTTTAAATGAAAAAACTTCGCTTGTTAGACGAGACATATTGGTATGAAAAAAAAAATATATATACAGTCGAATAAACTTTGCCGCTAAAAAAAAACATATGAGAAATAATTGTTTTGCTATGATTTTAATTAGACACAATTATGACTAATTATACAGTGTGACTACATTGTTTATTCGTGTTGCTAAGTTACTTTTCACATTTTCTAATGGATTATTATTACACATGATATATTGACTAATTCATAGTTTTTTTTTTCTCTAATTCATATTTATATCATTGACATATGACGCAAATTGATATGTCATTAAAATATTCTTCATCAATGGTTCCCTATTCGGATTTTTCTAGTCTTATCAAAATTTCTTTGTCAATCTAATATGAGCTCAAACGGTGCGAGTATCATCAGTTAGGTTATGAAAAAAAAAAAGCTTATCTTATACATATCTAGTTTAGAATTTCTCATGAACAAGGCACAGACTGGTTTACATCTCTTCTATATTATTGAAGAGAATTATTAGAAGAAAATTCAATTCTAACTGACTGTTGACTAGTATTTTGTCATATAAACTAGATTTCGTGAAGTATTTATTTCATTCTAAACTAATGAGTTTGTACAAAAATTGAATATTTCAAATAACATAAGATCAATAATTTGATTTTATATTGCTATAAAACAAATTATATGCTAGAAAAATTGATTTGATTAATGAAAATGAACCATGATTTAATATTTTGTTTATTTCTTTTTAGTTTATATCAAAAGGACCATTACGTGATCCACAATTAGATGATATTAATGATTTTATTGAATGTGATCAATCAATGGATCATATGGGTTTATCAACACAAGATAAAATAAATATTTATAGTACAGTTGCAGCTGTACTTCATCTTGGAAATATTAATTTTGAAGATGATCCTGAAAGTACAAAAGGTGGTTGTAAAATAACATCATCAACTGAACAATCATTAGCAATAACAGCTGAAATGTTGGGTCTTAATGTACGTGATCTTCGTAATGCATTAATAACAAGAGTTATAATGACTCGAACAACAAGTAATAATAATGATAGTATAATTCCGTAAGTATTTTATTGTTTTTGTTTTATTCAATTTAAAACAATGTTTTTTTTTTTTTTTATAAAGTGTTCCGTTAAAAGTTCATGAAGCACAAAATGCTCGTGATGCATTAGCTAAAGCAATATATATACGATTATTTGATCAAATTGTTAATTTTGTTAATAAATCAATACCATTTAGTTCATCAAATTCATATATTGGTATTCTTGATATAGCTGGTTTTGAATATTTTCCTATAAATTCATTTGAACAATTTTGTATCAAGTATGCTAATAAGAAATAATATTGATTACAGAGAAGAGACAAAAATAAAAAAGAAAAGAATTCTTTTTATAGTT